CTGGCCAGCAAAATGCTGGGGGCTCGGTGTCTCCCCACCCCACCCTGGTTTCCCTTCCCAAAGCTGGTGGGCTCTGCCCTCTGCTTCACCAGGCTGCCCGTGATCTTGGAGTCGCTCAGACGTTGTGCGTCTTTGCATGCCCACTCATGGTGGAGCAGTGTGACCCTGCGCGCCAGCTGAGCTGTGCCTCAGTGTCCCCGAGTGCTGTGCTGCGTGCTCGGCAGCCTGGCCCAGGGTCGTCATCTTTCCTTTCTCCTTGCACTGGCCACGAGGAATGGCTCCCATGTCCCCAGCTCTGGCCACACGTGACCTGCTCCCATCAAGAACCAAAAGGCCATGGCTGCTGACCACACTGAGCGATGCCAGCTGGCGATGGCCTGTCGGGTGCCTTGCGAGGAGCCCGGCCAGGCGGGCTGTCACGTAGGGGGGTATTAAACGAGGTGCTGGGGAAGTGGGTCCAGCCTAGGCTGGAGGGATCTGGGCTGGGAGGTGGGTTGGCTTGATTCATGTACGCAGGGGAGGGAGTCTCTTAAAAATCTGGCTGCCCTAGAGACAGGGATCCTAGCACAAGTCTGGGGCAGCTTCCTGCGTGTGGCTCGGGGCCAGGCCCAAAGACTTGGAGCCCCTCTGCTGTGCGGACATCCTCCTGGCTCTTGTTCCTCGGGGTGCATCTCTGCTTCCAGTGACCCCGACAAGCAGAAGGAGAAGGAGACTATCCGCTCCCAGTGGTCCCTGCTGGATCACTTGCACCTCGTCCTGCTGACGGGCATCTTCACCGTGGTGGGGTACCGTGTGGCCGCTCTGGTGGTGCTGGAGTTCTCCCTCCGGGCCGTGTCGATGCTCCTGTCCCTGCGCAAGGTGAGTGACTGCTCCTTGCGTTGTCACTAGCACACCCTAGAATAATGCTCGCTAGGTCTCATCTAGCACCGGGTCTCCAAGCCTTTCCCAGAGGGGGTCGATGGCAGTATCTCTGCTTCTGTTCCCCGTCTGTAGGGTATGGAGACCCTGCCAGTGTCCCTGACTCGCTGGGTGACAGGCAAGACTAGAACTCGGGGCCCAGACTGTTTTACACCATGGGCTGAGCGGGTTTGTGCTGTGAGCTGTTTCATGTCTGGGATGCAACTCCTGGCAGCCCTGGGCAAACTTTTAGTATCAGCAGAGAGAATGATGATAATAATAAAAATTACGGTTGTCAGGCCCCCTTTCTGTCTGGGCCTCAGGCGGTCGCCTGGTTCTCCCATGCCTATGTCTGGTCCTGCTGGGATGGGAAGCCCTGCCATTGCTCCTTCTCCCCAGGGCCTTTTGCTTTCTCCAGCTGAAGATGAGGGTGTAGAGAGACCAAAACGGCAGCCCAGAGCTGGATTACATCACGCTCGGGTTTTATGCAAGAGCAAAGTGGCTGGAAGTCGTTTGTTGGGTCAATAGCAAGCGTGTGCGTGTTGGGGGGTGGGGGTAGCGTGCATGCTTGGACCTGAAAGAGGAGGCTCTGGCTCTGCATAGCATGGACAAGAATGGTCTGCTTCATTTCTACCCCCCAGCTCATCATGACTTGCCCCGCGTTCGTGGTTGCTGTCTGCCCTGGGGAATTGGACCAGGCACCTAGTTCCAGTCCCCATGTCGCGGGATGGCAGCAATGTGTCCCGCGGGCTTGTGGCTCGCCACGCTGCATCTCCAATGCTTTGCTTCCGCAGGGGGCACCCAGCAGCCAGCTCTTCCTGCTGTGCCAGTACTCCCTGGGCTGCGGCATCTCCTGCAGCCTCTCCTACCTGCTGGAAGGGGCCCCGCACCGCACCTGGAACCTGGTCCTCAGCGTGGGGCTGGCCGGCATGATCGCCAGCTACGTCCGCAAGGCGGCGCGGCACGTCTGCATCATGTACGAGCTGCACAGCAAGGAGCGCTACTGCGGGGTCTGCATCTCCCTGCTCACCTCCTGGCGCGGCATCCCCCTCCTGCTCTGCAATGCCCTCAAGGTCACCTTCGTGGTGGCCGACCTGGCCGCTGTGGCGCTCATCAACAGGGACTTCCTCACCACCTCGGAGGCCATTCGCTTCTGGACGCCGCTCACCATCTGCTATACCCTGCTGGTCATCTACATGCAAGGTGAGGGCCGGAGGGAGGTCTTCTCCCCCTCTGCGAGCTCCTTAGACTCCAAATCAACAGGGTCTTTTAGCTGGGCCTTGGGCACGTCCCAGCAAGATGGGGCAGGGGAACCCTAGTCTTTTGAGGCCCAACCCACCTGTAAGGCCTCAAACGGACATCCCAGGTGGCTACAGCTGCCCCTGGGCACAGGTAGGTAGCCCCATGTTGATGCAATCGGGTGGGCTCCTGTTCTTTGTGCTGCCTGGGTGGGAAGTGTGCCCGGGATCAGACAGGCCAGGGGAGCTGCAACTGGGCTGGCTCTCAATCGCCTCCCATGGTGGCTCTCGTCCCGGTGTGATCTCTGGGAGCTGCCACCACCCCTCCCAGGAGAGGAGCTAGTGGTATTTGGGGTGCCCTAGGAGCACAACTTCTTGCATGAGCAGAAGGAGGATAGACTCCAGCCCATGTTCCCTTAGCCCGTTTTTGTGGGCTAGACGAGCCACGTAGCACGGCTGCAGCTGCTTCCCGAGAGCTGCCTGTCCGCGGTCTCTGCTGAGAGCCGTGAGCGAGTCCGCCCGTGACTGTGGGACGCTCCTGTTTTGGGCAGAGGAGCAGAGGCAGAACCCCAGCGAGCAGACGGCCTACCAGACCGTGTTCGTGCGGATGGGCGGCCTCCTCATCCTCCTCATGACCGTGGGCCGGTGGATGGACATCCTAAACGTTTTCGTCTCACTGGTGGGGGAGATGTGGTGCCTGGTGCACGCCGGGATCATGCTGGACATCTGTCGGCGGCAGGTGAGGCTACATGAGGGCTGTGCATGCATGTACCCTCACTCCCTGACCCTGCTTTGAAGACAAAAACACTCTAGAAAAGCCATGGGGACACGTGGCTAAGGGCAGGACGGTTGTGAAGCCCAATGGGTGGAGGTGTCCGACTGTGTGCGGTGTCGGTGTCTGTCCACAGGACTTGTCTCCGAGGCTCTCGGGACCCAGCCCCAGAGAGCGCCGGACCAGGTCTGAGGCCCGTCCCCAAGAAGCGACGGCATCCTGAGTCCGGGAGGCTGGAACCGAGCGGCCCCAGAGACCAGGACTGAAGTGAGAACCAAGATCAGTGTTTTTAGCTCCAGAAACTCCCAGCAGAACCGTCTGGCCCGACGGGCAGCACCACGGGCCTGGCACGACTCGCTGAGGTCACTGCCTCCGGGATGGACGGCTGCAACCGGGCTGTGTTGCGCTCAGCCCTGAGAGGTTTCCCTTCCCTTTGCCCTAATTGCTGCCCCAGACCCCACACGTGGCCGGCCTGGGTCCGGGGAACCCCGATGCCCCAAACTCCCTCCAGTGCCCCATTGTCAACCATGGGGGCAAAGCTCTGCGGAGCATCCCAGCAGTTTTCTTTTACCTCCCTCTACCCTGCACTGGGACTACTTTGGGCACGGGAGCTGGTCTCCCCCCCAGGAACGGCCTGGATGGACTATGGGAGTCTTCCAAGCTGGAGCAGGGAGCAACCCTGGGATTTGGGTGGAAGGCCACGGAGACCCTCTGATCCCAGGCACCAGTGTCCATATTTCCTAGCCACGGTTGCTATCCGCTCCCTGCGGATGTCCCCGAGTGAAAACGGGAATGGGCTTTTCTCCCTTCCTCTTCCCCCACATGAGGTTCCCTTCAAGCCAGGAATGATTTCCCTTGGGGTGAGAGTGCTGCCCTGCCTTCCTGTTGTGCGGGTCCGGCGGGCAGACGGTGTTCAGGCTCCAGCGCCTCACATCTTTGTTGTTAAAACATAATTTATTAAAAGAGCAAAACCTTCCTCCCAGCCATAGCCGGGACGTCCCTGCATGCCACAGAGCCCTGGAGGGGGACGGTGTTGGTCCAGGGCTCTTGCGGGGAGAGGAGACGTGTGTGCCATGAGCTCCACACCTGTATGGGAACTGCCCTGCTCCTCTGAGGCCAGGGCTGGTCTCAGACTTGAGCAGCCCCCGACAGACCCTGCTTTGAAGCACCTTCTGGCTGCAGGTCCTCTGCTCTTCCCTGGTGCATGCATCTCCCAGTGTGGACCTGTCTTGCAGACCTTTGCAACCGTAGCCAAAGAGAACAAAGCCTGTCCACAGAGGAGCTTTGTGGGATTTTGTCTTGTCCCCGTGTTATAAATCTGTGCAAGAATAAAGTGTTTGCCATGTCGGTGGGTGTGACCCCCCTTTCTCTGTCACTGCTGGTGGGGCCCTGCGAGCAGGGTGCCCGTCTGCAGGCCCTGCCGTAGCCAAACTTGGAGAGCTCTGAGCATCCGTGCTCTTCTCCCTTGTCCTGTCCTACCCTCTCCTGGCCGCTCTGTGCATCTCAGCAGCTCTGCTCTACCGGCAAAGCGAGGCTCGGGCTGTGGGGCGAATGATGGCCAGTGAGATCCAGGCTCAAATCTCTTTTGCGTCCTGGCTGAGCCTGTTGCAGGTAAGGTTTGGAGAGGGAGCGGACTGAGGCCGAGCTGTTGGAGCGGACGGTGCCCCAGCGGTGTATTGTCTCTGCCAGGTGGGTGCGGGGAGGAAAAAGATTAAATTCTGCCGTGAGTTAATCTCCGCAGGAGAGAAGCAGTCGGGTCTCCAGCAAAGGGGCTACCTGACTCCCTGGTGCCCGGCCCTGTGCTCCAATAGCTTGGGAGATTGGATGTCATCTCATGTAGCAAGCAGGGAAACTGAGGCACAAGAGGGTATGCCAAGTTGCCCGTGGCAGGTTAGGAATCGAGCCCTGGTCTCCTGCCTCCTTGGACTTTTGCCTTAACGAGGTCATCCTCTTTGACCAGAAGGAGAAGATGGCATGGCTCAGCTCAAGGGCTGGACCAGGAGATGGCTCTTGTCCCGACAAAAGCCAGGGCGGGAGTTCATGTTCCTCTCGCAGCCTCGCTCCTCCAGACAAAGGAGCCGCGTGGCGCCAGCTCTGGCACTGCCCTGGGCCCTTCCGCATGTCCTGACAGCTCCTTCACCTCCTCTCGCAGACTGGGAAAGCACTTGATCTGAGTCGCAGGCCTGAGCCAGGGGAGAGCCGAGGGCCCTGCTCCCTCGACTCCAAGACAAACTGCTTCATGCCCTTGAATGAAGCCCAATACTGCTCTTGTCGCAGCGGCTCTTTTTGATATGCCTCTTGCATTTTTATACGACTCGTGCAGTGCTTCAAGGGACGATGTATCACCAGTGAAGACCCAATCGTCTGGCTCTAAAAAAGCAAGCCCATTCTTGCTTTTTTAGAGCCAAACGATTGAGTCTTCACTGGTGATACATCATCCCTTGAAGCACCATTCATCCACCTGGCTGAGAGAGCTGGGTGAAAAACGGGGCTCCTTGTCAGACTAGTTTTTCCCACAGAACAAGAAGTCATATACCGGCAGAAACTGGAGCAAAATACTTCAATGCGGAAAATCCTCCTGCAGACCCTCAGGAGAGAGACTCCCAAGTCCTCCTCTTCATCAGCAGAGGCTGAGCTTGCATGCATAGTGCCCCCACTCCTAAAGAGGGGAGCTGCTGCATCATGGGAGCTGTAGTTTGGCTGCCTGCCTGCCCACCGAAAGTCCACCCCTAAGCGGCAGTGGTGGTGGGTCTAGGTAATAAAGGGCTAACGTGCTTTCTTGACTATTTTTATTAATTGACACACACGTTGAGGTGTTTACACAAGACGCTAACTGCACAGCAGTCTAATAACACTGCGTGGTAGCATGCTGAGCAAAACCCATGTTAATACACTACTGCGCAGTAATATTAGGCTACTGCGCATTGGCGTCACTCAAAAACCGTGCACCGGTGCTACTGCATAGTAACACAAGTTACTGCGCGTGCAGTCAGTGCTTGGTTCTCCAAGTACTAAACTTAAATTGCCGTAACTACGGTGCATTAATGAATGTGTAGATGTGCTCAGGAGAGAAAGAAAGAGCATTCCTTCCTTCCTTCCTTCCACGTTGAATTCTTGGCATGATATTACTGCAAGCAAAACTGCCTGACTGCTGCTTACTAGAAGAGGAGCTATAGCCGTGTGGCTTAGGCAACCTTTGTATTGAAATGACCCTAGATAAGATTTAAACAGAGCTGCTTTTGGAAGTGACTCACCTCTTCAATGCTGGAGTTAGCCCCCAAGCCAGAGGTCCTGGGCCTAACCCCCTTGGCTGGAAGGAGGGCCCAGCGGTTATGGCCCTGACTTGTGACCTGAGCAGCAGGAGTTGAGGTCCCTGCTGTGCCGCAGGCTTCCTAGCTCCGTGTGCTCCCCGAGGTAGGTGACTGTAGGCTGTGGAGTGGGCTTGGTGCGAAGGTGGGGCAGATGTTCAGGTTGGACGGCAGCTGAGCGGTAGTTTAGAGAAGGTCGGTACTGGTTGGGTGACAGATGTAGGCGCCTACAGAAGCAGGAGGGCACCGGAGTCCGGGCCTCAGCTCCTACCTGTCCAAGGTGGAGAACAGCCTCCCCCAGCACTTCAGTTTCCCATTCAGAAAACCAGGGATAACTCCTGACCCGTAGGGCCTTGTCGAGGACTTATTCCCTGCAACCTTTACAGAGAATGTTATAGATTACAAAGTGTGAAGATCCCCATCATAGGAGAGTACTATTATGCCCATTTTTGCAGATGAGCAACTGAGGCGCAGAGACTAAGTGACAGGCTCAGGGTAATACAGGGAGTCTGTGGCAGAGCCAAGACATGAACCCATATCTCCCGTGGTGGTGGCTGGTGCCCTAACCCTCTTTCTTTCCTCGCAGTCAGTCCCATCCTCCCACATCCTGGGAGAGCAGCAACATCCTGTTTTTTAAATTGTGATTTAAAACAACAACAACAAATAGATAAAACCCCTTTTGAAATAACACAGTGGCACTACGGCCTGGTGAAGGCATAGCCATCAGGTACCAGGACTCCTGAGTTCTCTCTATGGAGCTGCTGCTGACCTCGAGTGAGCCTCTTATCTGTTGCCTGCCTCAGTTTCCCCATCCGTGCAGGGCTGAGTAATGCTGCTTGCCTGGCTTGGAGGGCTGCGGATAGATGTGCCGAGGTGATGTGAGCAGCAGGAGGCAGCTCACAACCATCCCTGGGTTTTGTGACCCCAGCGCTTCTCGTGTCCCTTCCTATGACCTGCGCTTCCCAAGTGGAAACGAGGGAGCGGATGCGAGCGGCGCAGCCCTTTTCCTCCAGCACGTCAAACTCTTTGGCACGGGCACAAGTAAACTCCATTCAAGCAGGGCAGGAAGCATTTGCTGTTGAAGCCGCTTACCAGAAAAGCCACCAGGTTTATTTGCAGAAGGTGCTGAAAGGGAAACGCTTGAAACCACCAGAGCAGCCTTTTAATCCCTGGTATGACGGTGCCGTGGGCCCACATTGACGCCTGGGACAGCTCGGGCTCCAGCGGTGTGTTTTAAACCACTTCCAACCCTTGGAGAACTGGATATTTATTTTTAAAAATAACTCCAAGCTGAGCTGCTCGGGGAATAACCCCGTGGCAGCCGCTGGAGTTCAGACCAGAAGCTAAACGTACCTACGGTTGTAACAGTGTGGTTTTGCCCACTGCATTGCCAGAATATAGTTGTTAAAGGCATCTTGAGGAAGTCAGAGGCTCCTTCACAACACAACGTGGCCCCCACCAAGCTCCTGGCCCGGGAGAAGACCTAGAGAACTTGCTTGGAGAGCAAGGCAGGAGAGACGAGGCCTAGGCCAGCAATAGGAGGGCAGAGGGAGGAAGGAAACGTGAGCTAATGTGAGCCCGGCGTGCAGCATCCTCGAAAGCCTCCGTGCTTATCACACGAGGGAGCTCGGCTGGGTGAGGGTCAGGCTGGGATGCGGGCGCCTGCACGTAGCACTGGACGGCGGTGCATGCTGCTGTAGCTGCTGATTGCTTGGGGGACTTGGCAGCAGCAGGGGAGAGCAGTGCTAGCCTCCTCCTGCTGTTCTGCCAAGGCAGGCTGGGGGGAGAGCCGGTGTGCCCTCCTGCTGCTGGGGGAACTGGGAGCTCAGTGCTTGCTGGGGGCTTAACCTCCACGTGGAGGTCTGACTGCTCCTGAATCACCGCGTTTCCCCTTCCTTTAGCACGGGGCTCTCCACGCTGCCTCCCCGTAGTGCTGCGCAGGATCTGCACTGACCCTTCCTGGGGTCTAGCTCGCGCCCCTTCATCCCGTCCCCCCTGCGGCAAAGGGCTGCTCCTGCCCAGGCAGAGCCTCAGAGGTGACTGATCCAGTGTTAGCCGCTGACACGGCGCAGGTCTCCTCAAAACCCCTGCGGGCAAAACTGAGCAGCAACCGCGAGCCCCTTGCAGAGTCAGGCTGGAGGGTGGACCCCCGATTCGCATTATCCAGTGCTGCTCCCATGAGGTTGGCTTTTGTCTGTGGCAGCCCGTGGATGTGGGTCTCGGAAGGGTTACGCTCATAATGCTGTTGCTTTCCTGATCAACGTGTCCTGGGGCATTTGTCTCCTGCAACGGCCCCAGTCCTCTGTGTCTTTATTTGGGGGCCTGGGACTATGCTACCTACATGGACGAGCCTTTCCTTCCCTTTGCAGGAGCCGGCCCCCAGAGCCCTTCACTTCACACACGGCTTCAGAGCAATGTTGCTGCCGGTCCCGGCTCGTGTCCCAGGCGTCTCTTTGGGTCCTGGACACAGTTTCTAGCCCAGTAACATCAGAGATGACCTCTGAGGCCTAGATGGACCATTGTTCTGCCCTCCAAGATGCCAATACTTGATGCCTTGCAACAGAGCAGGTCCAAGTGCAAATGACCACCCCTCGCCTCGCACACCATCTAGGTGGGGCTGGTCCTGCTTGGAGCAGGGCTTGGACTAGATGTCACCTCCGCAGGTCCCTTCCACCCCCTTGTCTGCGACTCCAGGATTGTTTCTGCTAGTCCAAGCATCAAGCTGGGTTTGTGGGCGGTCTCTGACCAGCAGGGATCTTGGTTTTCTCCAATTTAAAAAAATCCCCAATTTTTGGATTAAAAAAAGTAACCCCAAATCCACAATTTTCCTTGATTAAAATGAAACACCACTAATACATATATGTGTGTATATATATATATATATATATATAGAGAGAGAGAGAGAGAGAGAGAGAGTTGTGTTTCATTTTAATCACAGCAAAATGTGGATTTGGGGTTACTTTTTTTAAAATATGAAAATTGGGGATTTTTTTTATATTGGAGAAAACCAGGATTCCTGC